GATCCAGATGTTGGAGGGAACAGGAGCACCCAGCAATGGTTTTAGACCTGAAATATTCATTCTTTTATAAAATTCCATTATGATTTGGGAGTTTTAGAATATCCCTTTCAATAATGCTGATCGGGATGAAAATGGTGGACTCATATAAGCTTGTGGATTCAGTGTTCAAATAATATAACCTATGCTCAACAGAGTTTCTGTCCTCCTATGTGCCAGCAGGGCACAGGGTCTGTGGTATTGTCCATGCATTACTTTATTGGTATAACAGAATGCATATTGTTCTGTATATCATATATCATCATTGTGTTGAGTAGGGAGACATCTAGTGGATTTTCACTGCAACTGCACATTTTTATTATTCCATTTAAACAAGAACAGGAAGTGTTTCATGTTCATTATAAGATAAAGAATTCCCATAAACCATTGCAGCCATTTTAGCTTATAGAAAAACCAGTGAAAGTATCTTCTATTCTCCCTTTGATACACATAAGCCTGTATATTCTTTCATTGTGTTTGTTAATGTCCCATGCATAGCTAGATATTATTTCAATACATTCAATGTGATTGTAGGTAGCTGTTTGCAAGAAATGTATTCGTTGTATAGTTTGTAACTATATAGGTCCAAAGGGACTGTTGTATCTGTTTAATTTTTATTGGGGCTCTGCTTCTTGCTCTGTAGTGATACACAATGGTTACATTTTACTGATGCCTCTCTCAATGTTGGTCTATGAACGTGGTACTGTGATAGGTTGCCACCTGTGCAGTAAGTCTATCCGTGACATTTCCTTGCTACTAAATATTCCACGGTCAACTGTTAGTGGTATTATAACAAACTGGAAGGAACTGGGAACAACAGCAACTCAGCCACTAAGTGGTAGGCCATGTAAAATGACAGAGCATGCATAGAGAGCTTCATGGAATGGTTTTCCATGGCCAAGCAGCTGCATCCAAGCCTTACATCACCAAGTGCAATGCAAAGCGTTGGATACAGTGGTGTAAAGCACGCTGCCACTGGACTCTAGAGCAGTAGAACGTGTTGTCTGGAGAGAGGAATTATGCTTCTCTGTCTGGCAATCCAATGGGCATGTCTGGATTTGGTGGTTGCTAGGTGAACGGTACTTGCCTGACTGCATTGTGCCAAGTGTAAAGTCTGGTGGAGGGAGGATTATGGTGTGGGGTTGTATTTCAGGGGTTGGGCTTGGCCCTTTAGTTCCAGTGAAGGGAACTCTTAAGGCGTCAGCAGGGGCGGACTGACAACTCATGGGGCCCCCGGGCAATAGGGGATCATGGGGCCCCTGTATCCTTACCCAAACTCAAAAAAGCCTTTGAAAAGGGTACCAGGGGCATCTCATGGGGCCCCCTACTGACCCCGGGCCCTCAGGCAATGCCCGAGTTTCCAAATGGTCAGTCCGCCCCTGGGCGTCAACATACCAAGACATTTTGGACCATTTCATGCTCCCAACTTTGTAGGAACAGTTTACGGATGGCCAGTTCCTGTTCCAACATGACTGCGCTCCAGTGCACAAAGCAAAGTCCATAAAGACATGGATGAGTGAGTTTGAGATGGAGGAACTTGAGTTGCCTGCACAGAGTCCTGACCTCAACCCAATAGAACACCTTTAGGATGAATTAGAGCGGAGACTGCAAGCCAGGTCTTCTCGTTTGACATCACACGATTTGGGTTTTGAGAAAGGAGATGAGACATCCAACATTTACTCTACAAATCTTGGAATATTAACCATTGATCTATTTTGAATCATTAAAGCACAAGGCGATATAACATCCAAATTTCACATTGTATAGCTGGTCAGTAAATAATTCTGAAAAAATAAATTTTTTTTGTATCTTCATACTTATGTATGCACAGGCTCATCAATTACATAATGCAAGCAATGGAAGATGTTATAAAATGCTACCAAAGGAAAAATGTTACTGCTTTGGCTTTTACATCTGTACTACATGTCTGGTCTCCCTATGGACCATATGAATTTTTATATTTCTGCTAGGAACCGGTTGATTTGGCAATAACTTTGTCATTACCTAAGATAAAAACGTTAGTCTTTCTTTTGGTAATATTGTCTTGCATTTTTTGTATTTATTTTGTAATTTTTGGAATTTGATCAGTGTTAAGTAAAAAAAATATTGCTACTGTAGATAAAAAAAAAAATAAATTATATTCTATAATTTGTTGTATTTAAAAACTATTTTATTTACAAATGAAATAAAGACTTTTTAAAACTGTTGCACTTTTCTAATGTGGGGACGAAAAAACAAATGAGCAAAGCAAATAGAAAAAAGTTTAAGTATTATTGTTTAGAAATATTGAAAAAAACCACAAAAAATAATAGTAAAATGAATGAGAAAAAAGAGTTAAAGTGAAAGTAAAGGCTAATATAAGTCCAGTTAAAACATAAATGTTCCCTCTTCATACCCATGGTGCATACTGTTTGCAAAATAGTTCAGTAAATACCTTTTTTTAAAATCATCTTTGGTGGGGTCATGTGATCTCCAAAGCTGGCCATACATGTATAGATTTTCGTTCGAGAATTTTAATTTCAAAAATATTTGTTTGATTTTGTAATCGTTAGTGGGGTCAAATCAATGTTCGTTTTCGACAGCAGTGACAAGAAAATAGAAAATCATTCAAAAGATGCCACATTTGAAGCAATTGTACAATAATCTGATCTTCAGTACAGAGCTTCTGTTCAATATTATTTGAAGAGACAAGCACAAAAAATTTTCTCGTATGATACCAGATCGTATTAATTTCATTTAATCAGCAGTTTTCGTTCCACAATACAATACAAATATACAACATCACTTCTGAATTTTCTTTCTGTCGTACAAGAATTTTCGTAACTTTAGTAACCTCTTCACTTTCGATATGAGACTAACATGCAAAAAAAACCAGATGATCATTCATCCAATATTCTAATCATGTGTACGGCGCATAAGGGGCATGAAAGAATGCTTCTCTCAACCAAACAAATGTTTGGCCAGTGTGTGTGATTATCTTTCATAAATTACATTCATTTTAATCACTTGCCCTCCAGAGGCTTTACCCCCCTTCCTGACCAGCCTTTTTTTGTGATACAGCGCTGCATTACTTTAACTGACGATTGCGCGGTCATGCAACACTGCACTCAAATGAAATTTATGTCCATTTTTCCCACAAATAGAGCTTTCTTTCAGTGGTATTTGATCGCCTCTGCGTTTTTTATTTTTTTTTGTGCTATAAAAAAAGTGACAATTTCGAGAGAAAAACATTATTTTTTATTTTGTGCTATTAAACATGTCCAGAAATGCAAAAAAATATATATAATTTTGTTATAAATTTAGGAAAAATGTATTCTGCTACATGTTTTTGCTAAAAAAAAAAAAAAATCCCAATACATGTAAATTAATTGGTTTACATGAAAGTTATAGCGTCTAAAAATGGTGATATATATACTGGATTTTTTTTCTATTTTAATACTAGTAATGGTGGCGATCAGCAACTTTATAGCGGGACTGTGGTGGGCATTCTGACACTGGGGGGGGGGGTGACTAACTGTCACTGACATCCCCAGTGACCCCAATTCAGTGATCAATGCTAATGAAAAGCACTGACACTATACTAATGGCACTGGACAGGAAGGGGTTAACATCTGGGGTGATCAAAGAGTTAACTGTGCTGTTTCACTGTGTGCTGTGTGTGCTTTACACTGTAAGCACCCTGTTTTGTATGGCTGTGCTATGCAGAACCATAGAAATCAGTGTACAGGAGCTGACAGGGGAGAGATCTGTATTGTATCTGTACGGGTCTCTCCTCCATCTATGATGCATGGTGATCGCCAGGTGCTGGTGGGGAATCATCGGCTAGGACCCTTGACTGACAGCCGAGGCCACCAATGGTGGCACGGGTAGAGCTCTTGCGCAGCTCGCACGCCCCTTTTTTGAAAATGCAAAATCACATATATACGTGATTTTGTGAACCCCTGCCACCCTATAGCAGTATTTCTGCTATAGGGTGGCAGGAAAGCGGTTAAAATCAAATATTAAAAGCAAAAGACAAATTTCAGACAACATTTGTGCATTCATCAAATGTTCAAAGAATTTTCGTAAGACTTTTTCTTCCAAATATTCTCATTTGAAAATCTACACGTGTATGGCCAGCGTAAGCTCCGGCTCTCTGTCAGCGGCTGTTAGTGGGCAGTCAATAGAAGCTGGCAGGTGACTTCACGGGTCTGTGAATTCAGCCCCATTGTGAAGTCACTCGTAAACACAAAGGAACCACATCTTAGAGATCACGTGGCCACACTGAAGCTGATAAAAAAGGTATTTACAATGAATGCTTTTACTAAGAGTACAAAGCATAGGTATGGGAAAGGAGAATCAATGTTTTCAACTTAAATAATATTAGCCTTTACTTTGCTCTATTAGGGCTAATTGTTGTAAATCAAGGGTTAATAAGGGATTCAATTAAAACAGATTTCATTACAAAATAAAACACTAAATTTTTTTTATTACCTGTCTGGTTTCTTTAACTGAAATCATTTGCAGATCAAAGCTCATCTGTTTGATCTGCAAATGAATGAACAAAGTAGATACAAAAGCAACAATGTTACATGGTATTTCTGTATCTCGCATCTGAAAACAATTTTGCAGATAGTCCACTTCCAATTGCTGTATTTACATAGTAATTCTCAACTGCCATGTGGACAGTGGAGAATTCATGGCAAATGGGGTGGAGGGGGTGCAGGTGAGCAGTTTGAGCTGTAGAAGGTCAGGATGTACTACAGATGTCCTGTGAACTTTTATGAAGAGTTTTTGGGCATATTTAGAATGTCCAGTGTCCACTACAGGTTATAGATCACAAAGGAAACAAACATGAATAAAGCAGTCACTTGAGAAATATGCTTCTGCAGATCCAGTATGCTTTATTATCTCTTTTTTTTGGTAGCTGAGATGTTTTTAAAATTGACATAGCTTATGTATACTACTGTTGTTAAATAAACTGATTAGATGCGAGGTATTGCACAAACTTGGTATGGTTTTGGTGCATGAGTTGCTGATCTTGCTGGTTCAAGGTCTATCACAGCCCCAGGGGGCGCCTGGAAGGTGAAATTCTGTAGTAGGGATGTAAAGAAAAGGAAAAGCTCCATTTTGGCCAAGGTTTCACCAGCGCAGCTTCTTTTGCCTAGAGAAAGACATTGAACGTGTATTTTAGAGGAAATCAACTTTAACTGCATTGCAAAGTTTTTTTATGGGCACCTTCTGTTTCCAAATAGGCACACATGAAAATAAAGATCAACTAAAAGCAAATTGAGCCCTGGTTCACAATGATGCGGTGCGGAATTTGCAGCGTTTGCTGTGCGAATTCCGCACCGCATCAGAATCGCACCCCGTTCATGCGAACAGCTGCGGGTGTGTATGTTAAGTTAACAACATCCCAAAAGCGGTCCGCAAAATGCGGTGCGATGTGCAGAATCGGATCTCATAGGTGTGAATACCCATGCAATCCAATTCTAGTGCGGACCAAAAAAAGGGTCCTACATGCTTTTGGTGTGGTGCTATTAGAGCCATACAAAATGTATGGCTCCAATCGCATCGCACACAAATCGCATTTGATTTGTACAGGAATGCGGTGCTGTTCCTGTGTGAATCACATGTGAATTACCGCACCACATATATGTGAACCCAGGCTAAAGAATACATTTTGATTACTATATATATATATATATATATATATATATATATACAGTGGGGCAAAAAAGTATTTAGTCAGCCACCAATTGTGCAAGTTCTCCCACTTAAAAAGATGAGAGAGGCCTGTAATTGGCATCATAGGTAGACCTCAAGTATGAGAGACAAAATGAGAAAAAAAATCCAGACAATCACATTGGCTGATTTGGAAAGAATTTATTTGCAAATTATGGTGGAAAATAAGTATTTAGTCACCTACAAACAAGCAAGATTTCTGGCTCTCACAGACCTGTACCTTCTTCTTTAAGAGGCTCCTCTGTCCTGCACTCATTACCTGTATCAATGGCACCTGTTTGAACTTGTTATCAGTATAAAAGACACCTGTCCACAACCTCAAACAGTCACACTCCAAACTCCACTATGGTGAAGACCAAAGAGCTGTCGCAGGACACCAGAAACAAAACTGTAGACCTGCACCAGGCTGAGAAGACTGAATCTGCAATAGGCAAGCAGCTTGGTGTGAACAAACCAACTGTGGGAACAATAATTAGAAAATGGAAGACATTCAAGACCACTGATAATCTCCCTCGGTCTGGGGCTCCACGCAAGATCTCACCCCGTGGGGTCAAAATGACCACAAGAACGGTGAGCAAAAATCCCAGGACCACATGGGGGGACCTAGTGAACGACCTGCAGAGAGCTGGGACCAACGTAACAAAGGCTACCATCAGTAACACACTACGCCGCCAGGGACTCAGATCCTGCAGTGACAGACGTGTCCCCCTGCTTAAGCCAGTACATGACCAGGCCCATCTGAAGTTTGCTAGAGAGCATTTGGATGATCCAGAAGAGGATTGGGAGAATGTCATATGGTCAGATGAAACCAAAATAGAACTGTTTGGTAGAAACACAACTCGTCGTGTTTGGAGGAGAGAGAATGCTGAGTTGCATCCAAAGAACACCATACCTACTGTGAAGCATGGGGGTGGCAACGTCATGCTTTGGGGCTGTTTCTCCGCAAAGGGACCAGGACGACTGATCCATGTACAGGACAGAATGAATGGGACCATATATCGTGAGATTTTGAGTGCAAACCTCCTTCCATCAGCAAGGGCATTGAAGATGAAACGTTGCTGGGTCTTCCAACATGACAATGATCCCAAACTTACCACCCGGGCAACAAAGGAGTGGAAACGTTTGACCTCTGTCATTGCCAACAAAGGATATATAACAAAGTATTGAGATGAACTTTTGATATTGACCAAATACTTATTTTCCACCATAATTTGCAAATAAATTCTTTCCAAATCAGCCAATGTGATTGTCTGTATTTTTTTTCTCATTTTGTCTCTCATAGTTGAGGTCTACCTATGATGCCAATTACAGGCCTCTCTCATCTTTTTAAGTGGGAGAACTTGCACAATTGGTGGCTGACTAAATACTTTTTTGCCCCGCTGTGTATATATATATATATATATATATATATATATATATATATATATATAAAAAATAATAATAATAATGGTTACCATTAACATAGTAATAATTGCAACAAGCTTTCACATTTGCACCAGGGTTAGACAGCAACAGAAAGCAATCATGATTCTGTGTCATTCCCCATTCTTCTTTCTGATTATACACGTAAGGGTGTATTTATAAGAAAAAATCCATAACAATTCACCTAGTGAAAGTGCATTCATTCTGTACAAAGAGGACAAAAAAATTAAACTTCTTTAGTCATTTCTTGTGCTGGTGGAATGTTTTTCCATGATTTAAAATGGAAAATACCACATTTGGCCACAAGATGCACAAAGTAACTTAGGAATTTTGTAAGATACTTAGTGCCATCTAATGGTCAAATGTGATATTTTTCATTCGTACATGTAAGAATGTGCATGACTTTTCCATGGGCAAATTGCTGTGTCAGTCATTTTATGATTGCACCCCATCATGATAAATAATGTATCATAGATTTGATTGTTTACAACAATTATGGTTCACCTTCAAATGATTGACACAGTGATAAGAAAAGACTGATTTAGTCTCTTTTTGAAATAACTTTTTACTGGGGCAGATTGTCCCTTGTCTATAAAAATGATCAATAGTGTATCAAAGTGAACCAATATTTCAGGATTAAGTGATTCCTCTATTAAAATGACAGTCATTTCAAATAACTGTTACATGTAAGAGAATGAGAGATCAAGAAACCTGGGAGAAAGGAATACCAAACCAGCTCAGGTAACAGTGTTCTTAAAACATTTTGCAAACTTTTAGTGAGCAATTAAAACTTCTGTATATCCCATCCAGTCAATGAAATTCTCATCATAACGTTCTGTTTAGATTTACCTATAGAGAATGGAATGAAGGCTTCATTTGTTTTAAAATTTCCTTCTGCATCAAGAAAATGCTCCGGATAGAACTCAAAGGGTTTTTTGAAATAGGCTTCATCATTCAGTACAGAATACATCAATGGAAACACAGCAGTGCCCTGAAAGGATAAAAGTAAATCAAAAGCGGAAAATATATTTTTATACAGGATTTATATAGTGCCCAAAAAGTTTGTGCTATTTTATATATAAAGTCAATTTCCAGCTGACAATGATTGAGCATCTGTTTAAAGTGACATTATATGAAACCATCATTCCCCAAATGTAATCCATTCACATCCACTACTTAATTCCCCCCCTCCTATTTTCATGAAATTGTTGCTTATTGTGTTTTTCTGCCCACTTGTAATGTTTTCTCTGAACTACTGAATCTCTAGTTTCGCACCTTCACTTCCTTTTGTTTGGAATGAATAGTGCAGATTAGTTGCTGTAATGTGCGCTGCTCTGGAGATTTGGAACCACAGTGCACTTGTGACCACCTGGGCATTGTGGTTCTAATGGGATCTGTTCCTTCCAGCTTCTAACATAGCTTTGGTAATTCTATGCTGTGACGCTGTCAAATGATGTGTCCATTTTATGCTGTAATGCTCACATTATTATTGGTGTGTGTTATTATGTAGATTGTGATGACTATAAGATATATCCTCCTGTGTGTACTACATATTGGTTTAGTAAACCTCCGGGTATGAAAAATTTTGAAACATGGGACTGCACAAAGTATGACGTCACAATCAGGACAATGGAACCTGGTTTCCTTTCTGACTTTCCTTCCACTGTCATCTCGCTTCGAGCAACAAACCATGCACATCCTAGTAGGTTCTGACTTTTTCTCGGTTGGTGGGATGTAGTCCATGAAGTGTCGACCAGTCAGGCGTTCCGGGTTGACAACGCCAATAGCACGATGACCTCTATTCACAGCCGTTGATGGTGCTTGGTGGTTAACAAAGATACGTTCTGCAATTTTCCAAATGAAGTCCAATTGAATCACAGGCTTGTAACTTTTTTTTTTTAAGCAGAATGTAGGCATTCCACAAGCATTGCTCAAGAAGATGCCTGAAGATCTTCTTGTAGTACTTCTTTTGCTGTTTCCTTATTGCTGGGTAGAATGTCATTGCTTGGTCAGCTCTGTCGACACCTCCCATGGTGTTATTGTAGTCTATCACTACTTGTGGCTTCATGATTTCTTTCCCACCTTTTGTGCGTACCATAACAGTGGAGGTATTATGAATCTTACTCATTAAACACACATCTTTCTTGTCACGCCATCACAGTGTCATCATTTTGCCTTTCTGCCAGGCAACTATTTCTCCAACCTTCAGCTTCTTATTGCCAAACATTTTTGGCATGCCGCTTCAGTTAGCCCTAACGGTTCCATAGGCATCAGTTTTGTTTTGCAGAGGAAACTCATAAAAGTTCAGGAGACGTATAAAAGTTGCCGGTTGTTACGCAATAGCCCTGATTTAGCAATGGCTCAATTAGTGAAAGAATGGAAGATGTTGCCATTCTATAGTTGCTGTATTTTGTATTGAATTTTGTTCCTTTTCCAGTGTATATCACTGAATTCCAAATGTAGCCAGTTGATGATTCACATAGCATATAGGATTTTACGCCAAATCGTGTTCTCTTTGATGCAATGTATTGTACCCAGCTGAGCCTTCCCTTGTAGGCCATTAGACTTTCATCTATGCTGGTATCATTCTGGCACATAGCTCCGTTGGAAATTCTTTAGAATCATTTGAGATACTTCCAAAATTTTCTTTAGTTTTGTTGAAAGATGTGTAGTTTTGTCAAATTCTTAGTTGTTTTCAAAGTGTAAAAATTTAATGATCAGGGAAAATCTGTACTCTGACATGACCGTGCCAAAGAATGGAGTGGCAAGTAATTTATTAGTTGTCCAATACCACGTCTGCAGGGGCTTCCTCACAACTCCCTGAAGTATTATTAGGCCCAGAAATTTCCAAATGTCATCTTTGGTCACTGGTTCCCACTTTCTGCTTCTTGGAAACTTCCAATGTAGAGTAGCCAATTGTTGCTCTTGGTAACTACCAGGGGAGTTATTTATCTTATGACATGCACCTGTGGGGCCTATTATATAGGTAAAACTATACCTCAGTTCAATCAGAGAATACATGATCATATTTATTATTCTTCCAATGCCAAAATGTTTACTCCCATTAGTCGCCATCTGGGCCTCTATCATAAATTTGATACTACCCATGCCAGATTTACTGCCTTGGAAGTAGTAACTAGAGATCCACATGGAGGCAATTGGGATAAAAAAATTCTGTGTAGGGAAACTATGTGGATTGAATGTCCCAAGCAGTAAACTCTCCAGGCCTTAATGAAATTCTATCATACAAACCCTTTTTGTGAAACCTGGATGCAATCCTTTGAGTTGTCACTCCTGGGTCCTGTGACTTGTTCATGGACCCAGGAGTAAGAATATTGGGGCATGTATATGATCTCCCTAGCAATGGAATATGCGTGTACTCTAATAATATACTCCTTTGCCCCTGCAACCTATGTATAGGTTCCCAGCTGTTATGTAATGTTGTCATTATTATCCTTGCACCTGATATGTCCTGGATATAACTTGTGACCAGTGTATTACACATACAGTATATTGTGGTTTCTTTGTGTTTTTTATGTACTCATCCGCATTTGTGCAAATGTCTTTAGCTATTGTAACAGATGTGCACTGTTGCTGTGGTGCACTTTTGGGGGGCAGCGGGTTGTCTGGGTCAGCTCTCCCAGGGGGGACACCCCGATGTATTGGTCAGGTGTGTGGCCGCTGTTCAATCTGGCTGGCGCCCCTTTACCCACCTCCTCTGTGGCTGGTCTGCCCTTGGGGTTGGTGGGGGTGGCCGGGATTGGGGGTTGGATCCTCATATCCTTCTCCCGTCTGCGTGTGCGCAGGTTTCCCGTGCGCAGGGTTTGGCACCTTGCAGGTTCGGCGCATGCGCGGTCTTTCCCGGCCAGGCCTGGTTGCATCACATGCCACGCGGCGGTGGTGTGCAGGGTCAGTGTGCATTTAAGTGGCGTGGGCTAGTGTATGGCTGGTGTACGGCTCTTGATGGTGGTTTTACGAGCTGTGTATATCACCAATCATTGGTAGGTGATCCCCAATTGGGGGTTGGACAGTTATGATCCCAATATAGGGGATATCTATACTAACGAGGGTGCCATATTTGTTTCTCTTTCAGGCCTACAGGCCTTTCTACCTCTTACCGAGGACAAGATCTTTGGATTGAATTTTGGGGTACCATATTTGTCTTGTTTCAGGCCTATAGGCCATTCTACCACTTACTGAGGATAAGATCTTTGGATTGAATTTCAGGTTGTTCATTTTTCATTCCCTTGTGAGCAATTATATATATGTATTAGCCTTAATGGGCCTATCTATCTACTATATTACAAGGTAAAAGATTCCCCATGTAGTAAGCGTATGCTTCAGTATCTACCCTGTTCAGAATGATGTTGGTACTATCTATACTGCTACCATCTTTTGCAATCATTCTATGTGGTTGGTGGGTTATGGGATATTAGCTGTGGGCTAATTGTGCAATGAGATCATACAAGATACATTTCAGAGATGACGTGATGTCAATAAAGGAACATTGATTTTATTCTTTCGTGTACTGAGTTTCTGTGCCTAGAAAGTTCATTTCCATATTCTTCCTTCCTGAATCAATTGGGTGTTTAAGGCTGAGGGGTGGATTGGTAGCTTACAGTGATGGGATAAAAACCAATAGCATTTACTATAGTATCATTTAGTGGCAGAACTGCCAAGGTCGCAAAGGGAGCACTTGTGACCGGGTCCTGGCATTCCGCCACCATGGGGGGGGGGGGGGGGGCAAGATGGCAGGAAGAGGGTCTAATGCAGAATCCGTGAAAGGGTCTCACTGCGGGACTATAATAAAGGGCCCTGTGATCCTGTGATGGGAGTAAAAAGGCCTGGGATCAGTGAAAAGGGCTCTGAGCTCAGAGGAAAGGGCTTGGGGACCGATGGAAAGGGCCCCAAGAGTTTCAGGGGGGTGATCTTCATGTTTTTTTTTACCAGAGCCCTGAAGGTTCTAGTTATACCTCTGGTATAATTTTTTACATAATTTTTATACTAATGCAACCACTGCAAAAAACAATATCAGAGACTAAATTGTACATGTCCATATGAAACATTCTTTTTTGGTCTGTATAGGGAGTGGCTAAATCATAACCCCAGCCACATTTTAATTGCGATCCAGTCTTGCAAGTTGTTAAAAAATGGAAAGCAGACAAGGGGTGTATCTGCTTTACATTTGCCTTGGACGGCATTTTACAGGGGGCGGCGCCACCCCCCAGGCATAAGGGACACTGTGGGTGTCAGTGGCAGGGCCACCATTTGGGGGGGAACAGCCGAGCAGACACACACATAGGGGCCACCCAGCCCAGGGGATAGGCTGCAGATGAAGGCAGATTGGTAGGCAAAGTGGTGGGCAGATCCCCACTGTGCACAGGTGCTTGATGGCTGTGGCCCACTGTTAGTGGAGGAAAAAGAAGAACAGGAGGAGGTCAGGGTGGAGGAGCCCCCTCACTCTTTGTTGAAGCTGCTTCCAGAGATCCTGGTGAAGATGGGACACAGGCTCAGCTACCCCTCCTGGAGTGATCCTGACACCATCTGGAGGAGCTGCTGCTATACAGATAAGAGCTTGGAGGACTGGTGCTTCCTCCATCACACTGCCCTCCACCTGTCCCGCTGCCCCCATCACACTTCCCCCCATCCGTCACGCTGCCCCCTCCTGTCCCACTGCCCCCCTCCTGTCCTGTGGCCCTCCCGGTTACCCTGCCACCCTCTTGTCATTCTCCCCCCTCCTGTCACCCTCCCCTCCTGTCCTGTCCTGCAGGGGTGACTCATACACAGGAAAAGGGTAGGACAAATTTAGATGGGGGGGGGGGGGGATGCCTAGGGCATCACAAAACCAAAATACACCACTGAAGCAGACTATGAGGTTCATGTGCCCTACTGCAGAAGAAAACCTTATGTGCCTTTCACAACTAACTTTTCTTGTTAAATGTTTTTTTATTGAAGTTTCAACAAGTTCAAAAAGAGTAATGCAGACAAGTATATGTGTATACATTTAGTATGACAGTACGGTTTCAACTCAAAGTCATCAGAACCATTATAACAAGGCACAGACAATCAGTGACTCTGAATCATTTGCTACATTACCAAATAGGACATACAGTAGTTTCAGTGTTCAAGCACCATCCCAACCATGGAAGTCCTAGCACAGGCCATCCCAAAATGAAAGACATTTACTTGTACCCACCAGGACACATCACATTACGAACTGTGGAGGGACAGAGCTTGGCCCAGAGTCATAATTTACTATGTCAACCCTACCAAAAAATGTAAGAAGAACAAAGAAAAGAGCAGGAAAGAATGGTGAAAGCACACATGAAGAGGCAGAAGAAGGGTGTGGAGGATGGGGGTTGGGAAGGAATAGGGAAGGTCTCCCATCCCTGAGGGTCAGCCAGTGATCCACTCATGGTTATTCATGCAAAGCTCCAGAGTTAAGTTGGGAGCAGGCTATCCATGGAGACCAAATATTAAGAAATCTGTATATCTATAAAAATAACCATTCATTTATAATATCTTAAAAATTTAACACAGAAGACTGCTATGAATAGGATATGGCTTTGTTATTTGCATTAAACATGAAGCCAATTACTTTTGCCATGGCATGGAGGACTTTTTGGATACATTTGCTTAATAGGGATCTATGGGATCCTTCTATGTGTTACAATTCAGAACTGTGCACATAAGAAAGTAAACTCAAACCCATAGTCCTTATGCCCTGAGGCAGGACCAACAAACATATAGCATTGTATAATTTTTATAAATAGTTTCTTTCAATAGATGTACTAGTGGAGTCTTCACTGCATTGCCTTTATTCTGCTACCTTCTAGTTTGGCACTTTATAATTTGTCATGTGAAACGCTTGGCCTGAGAGTTGCTGTAGATATCATATGTACAAACACTTTTATACTATCTATTATTGAATGTTGCAAAATAAAGTAGAATGTAGTCACCTTTGGAATGAAATATCCTCTAAATGTGACATCTTGAACAGTTTCATGTGGAACCCCACTTGGTGCAATATCACCAAACCGCTGGATCTCATGAATTACGGCATCAGTATACGGCATTTTCTTCCTATGCTCTGCTTGAGGTTGAGCAGTACCGATAATGTTATCAATTTCATTTTGAACTTTCTCTGTGAAGGAATAGATACTGTTAACATTATATTCAATAATTACTTTAATAAATTTAGACATGTACTGCACGTATATGTTCTCCATTTAGGCAAATTTCAGCCCATCTCTAGACAAACATTAACCTCCTTACCACAGCTATCTAGCTCATCCTGCACTTTTTTGTCTTACCTTCAATAGCATGTTTTACTCACCTCCACCTTTCAGGTCCCTTGCCATGCAGTTTGGAGGTGTGTGAGATTGGTAATCCATCTTTGAGAATGTGCCCATGCTGGGCAATCCCCAACAGTCCCCTCACTCTGATGTTGCCACTGAGATTCCTGAGACACTGAGACACAGGATTCAAAGAGGACCTCAACACTAATCAGCCAATAGCAAGTGTCCATGTTATGTAGGAAGTGATATGGACATTCAAAGAAAAGACCTTTGTCCTGTAATTCAAAGGAAAAAGAAGGCCTGGGACTTGAGCACCCTACTAATATTAATGTAGGTCATAAACAATTCATTTTTTTCTAATACCTGGGATTAATTAAGCGTGTGGTTAGGGAAAGAGGGTATGGGGGTGTATAAACATTAGCTTTTAGAAGGAGCTACAGGCAAACTTAAAAAAAAAACATTGCTATGCCACCTATTTTACTAGCTCTGGTGGCATCTTATTGCATGATAAAGTAAACTTGTCATCAGAGCACCATGGTGGCTGCTGTTACTAACCTTCTTCTGAAAATGCTAGTTGCTTGGTTTTTAACCTTATCTTCTGGCCTGCATATTCAATACTATGAGTTACTGATCCAGAAAAAGAATGCAGTTTAGAATATTAGGACAATCACAGTAATGTCTCATTTCATTAGTCAGTAACTTGAAGTATTGAAGCCATGTCTCATTTCATTAGTCAGTAACTCACAGTATTGAAGCCATGTCTCATTTCAGTAGTCAGTAACTCACAGTATTGAAGCCATGGTTAGCATTACTGCCAGTACTTAGAGAATGAGACCACAGTAACAGCAATCTGCACATTTCTTTAAAGCAAACCTGTTAGCATTTAAAAAAAAAACCTCAGAAATGTCCTGTTTTAGCACAGATACCATAAAATGTTTGTATTCCTTTATTAGCCAGAAAACATCTTACATGTAAATCTGTGAAAGCTATTTTTAATTTGTTAAATAGATGCCTGACTTTAGGAGCTTCCCTCTGTCCATTGAAAGATACACTTTAATTAGACAAAAGGATGAAATGTGAAGGGGTTAGTCCTGAGTTCACAACAGAAACTTTTATCTTCTGTTTACAGGAGGCGGTGTTCTTTGAGTGTCCATTTCACTGCCTTCATGATGGCAGGGTCTTCTCAGGAACAAAAGAGGAGTCAACATCAGTGCAAGGAGATCTTGAGGGACCACTGTAGCAAACTTGCTCATCAGAGATGGATGTGGAGTTCCCCTTTTTTATTAGAAGTATTCCTCAATCCTTTATTCCCTACCCCCTCCCTTCCTGAGAGGCACAGGGACAGATGTGTAAGTGTTAAAAGTTGCTGGCAGGCTGGAGCAGCAGGGGGCCCAGCGCTACAAAGCCCCCCCATAGAGACAGCAGACACTCTGTCCCAAGGCCTGTGTAAAATATCACACCTCCTAATCAAGATAAGTTTTTTCCCAGGACTTGAAAGAAGTTGGAACCTCATAAACCCTACCAGCCAGGTGACAGAAGTTAAATGAACATTCCTCAGGTCAGCTGTCACCTATGTTTCATATCATGGATTATGAAGCTGTCAGTTTTAATGCAGAGCCCATCCGACGATCCCGCGCAAAACAGGGTATTGGCCAGTATTCATAGCCACCCCCCCCCCCCCCTGCAGAGGGACTTTAAAAGACAGGATGGCAAGCCTAAAAGCTAAGCTAAACACATCTCCTAGTGTTTAACATCGTAACAGCAGGAGATCAAAGACCCTTTCGCTCTGCAACTTGGATCTGCTTACTTTAAGGCTTAACATGGCAAGTAACTTAACTTTTTAACTTCTTCCTGTTATCTCTTTGCTGTGCTGGGCTGTTTCCTATTTTTTATATATAAATATATATCTTAGTTACATCTTTTTCTGTAAATATTTTATTGCACCTGTTTGACTCTTTTAGTAATAAATCTTTCTTTCTGAAAGTGTTAAACTGTTTCTAAAGTGCTTAATTGCAATTCACGAATTCCTGCCTTTTGAAGAGACGCTACTGTGTTGTTTAATCCTCTGCCCAATCGGCCTGCGGTGACCGTATTGGACAGGAGACTTTTCAACCATTACAGTGTATATTGGATAAAGAGAGTTTCCCCTTTCTCTGTACAAAAAGGGGTGGTGGCAGTGAAGGGTTAGTTGCATGATTAACCTGACCCAGTAACAAGCGCATTCAGGCTGCCGGTGCATCGATTGTGTTCCATTAGCTGGACAATCGTTATGCGGTGCGCAGCTGAGTGTGGCATTGTTACACACGTCACATCGCGGTTTTAGATCGGCCGGTCCTTTGGTCACGAGTTTGGTGAGAAGGTCTGGGGTCTGACGCCGCGGGCGTGACGTATTATTGTTGGTCGCGGTCTTGCGATTGTTGCATGTTGGTGGCGGCGATCCGGCGACCGTGACAACCACGATGTCACACTTATATCAGTGAAACTTGCTTTACAAAGTAGGAAAAAAACACAGCTGAATGGGTGAGAAGTGGAAGAGGAGTTAATTTTTGTTCGGTGATGGGCTTTACATTTGATGAACTTACACAGCAGATTAATTAAAAACTAGATTTCTTACTTTGTATTTCTGGATATTTCATCATTAACAGTACTGCCCATCTCAAAGTGGTGGTGGTTGTCTCCATTCCAGCAATAAAAAGATCATTCACCAAAGCAATTAAATTATCATTGTGAAAATACTGGGAGAATTCGGTTTTTCCCTAAAAAAAAGTAAAATAAATAATGAATGCAGTGAACAATTTATGAGTGTAATTAGTTCCTTTTATCTGATGATTCATGAGGTATGTGTTTGTGAAACTAATGGAACCAGGGTATCTGGTAACAAGTATCTATTTTTTTTCTGGTGGTAGGGGATAACTTATGTGACTAACTAGTAAGTTCTCAGTATTTATACCTTTATGTTTTACCTTGAAACATCATGACAAAGTATTTTTCAGTCTTATCACTCTGTCCTTTAATTTTCTTTATGAGCCTCTTGAAGAGCTCCACATTTGCAGCTCTGAGTGCAGTGTCACCAACATATCAAAGATCGCTGACATCTACTAGCTTACTACAGACCTGCTTGAAGAAAACTTCCAATATATATAATTTATAAAGACAATTGGGGATGTCGGATCTGTGTATGTGGATGCATGTAAGGCACAAGATCTGCTAGGCAAGTGGAGAGTACTAAGCTGTGAATGGTAAAGTGTGACTCGTGAGTGGATGATAAGTGAAAGTTAATTAGTATGTTAATCGTTTTGGTAACTCTAGTCAAATTTTGTATTAAACTTTAGCTACCAGAAAAAAAACATTTATGTGAATTCCTGCATGCCCTATATGCACCTAGAGAAAATATCTTCAGTTCTTGCCAATAGGGCCCTCAAAGTTCACAATCTTTTAATCTACAAGTCTGATCACTACTTTGTGTCAAACACCAGCCCACCCCACCCCACCTATTTCATACACCTTACTATTGATACTTCTATGATATGTGGGCTCACTGGTCAATACAAAGGTATGGGCAAAAGTAGATTAAGTTTCAACAATTTACAAATCGAAGTATATTGCCAAGGGTAGCCTTGGAGCTATAGTTCACCACATTCCATAATATATGAAACAAAAACTTCAGCCCCAAAAGAGGTGGTAAACAAAGTACTCTGGGACTTTTCAGGTAAATAATTTCTCAGAAAATTAATCATTAATACTCCATAATTGCATGAAAACCAAAGTGTATTGTTCTTGGTTCAACCAGTACACCGGTTGGTCATGTTAAAATCATAAATATAAATATATATAAGAACAGCATCATGGTGTCAGAAAAATATATACACAAAACCCCAAATCTTTTTATGGCTCAACCAAAACTTCCTCATACATAAGATACATACATATCATACATCTACCTAAGGACCTGCCATATATCGGACCCCTAAAATATATATCATGTGCATGTGTATCAGAAGATTACAATAAGGTAGGTATCAATCTATAGATCTGTGGTGGACATTCATATATCCCAATGCAGTTTGCAAAGGTGCTTTTTCAGGAGAAGGGCATTCTGAAGACAATAAAAGCACCCAGATAGAGCCCTCAGACCTCTATGCACCACACAGCGGAGGCTGGGCTACACTGGACTCTTGTGATCAATGGGGGCTGGATGACCATTTGGGTTTGTTTTTTTGGAAAGCTGTGCCCCCTCTGTAGTGTCCTCTTGCCTTTTAGATATTTGGTACCCAAAGCAATTACCATTTTCCCTCCCCATTGCATCAGGGATGTATGATCTGGTGTATGACTCTGGCTTCATCTGATTGTCTTTATTGTCTCCAGATTGGCCTTCTTTGTGAACAACTTTGTGAAATGCATTGACACATCTGAAACTCCATCACATCTCTACAGGTTTATACATACATTGTTTTAATCTTCAGTTACACATGCACATGATATATTTTGAAGAGTTCAATGTATGACCTGTCCTTAGGTAGACTTATACATCTTTTATATCGAGGAAACTGTGGTTGAACTATAAAAAATTTGGGGTTATTGGTGGTTCAAAATAAGGTGACACAGAATATGATACACGCTAAAGTGGAAGCTGCCATCACAGACACCGTCCCTAAATTTTTGTCAGTATGGTCCCCCTGGGTAGATCACTTCCTCCCTAGAAGCTTTGACAAATCGTTGCTCCTCCCTTAATAATTTCCTCCATCAGATGGTAGTCAGGAGCCTTGGTCCGTCCGTTCCCTTCCCCCCCCCTCCCTTTTTCTCCCCCCCCTTTTTTTTCTTCTTTCTTCTCTCCCTCCCCCTTTTGTCTTACTCTGCTTCTTTCTCTCTGTGTTCACATTATTTCAATTGTTTTATCTTCACCTTCCAAGGAACTTATCCATATGCTTTAGGAGTACCACCCATTTGTATCCATCAAGCAATACCCTGCTCCTTTGATTTGGTATTATCCTCCCTTACTCATTGTGGTTTCTCCTATGTTTACAATAGTTGGACCTTTACTGTTGGCCATTAGGCCACATGCCTTAATCATTTATCTTTACTGTAAACGTATTTTGCATATCGTTGTATGCCTTACACCTTTAAAACCCAATAAAATGTTTGAACAAGGAAAAAATTTGGGGTTCTGTGTATGCATTTTTTTGACACCCTGATGCTATTCTTTTATTATTGATTTCTATGATTTTAACATGACCAACTGGTGTCCTGGTTGAGCCAAGAAAAATAAACTTTGGTCTTTATACATCTATGGAGTATTGATGGTTAATTTTCTGTGAGATTATTCAGTTTTTAACTTCAACAACATACAGTAATTAAATAATCATTTGTTTTTTTTTGCTTATATCTTCTACATTATAAAAGCTTCTTACAAATACTAGTCTAAATATGACAGATTTAAAGAAAAAATATTTTCATTTTATTTGAAAATATTTATATCTATCTATCTATCTATCTATCTATCTATCTATCTATCTATCTATCTATCTTTCAATATGATCAAATATGTAATATACTGTATATATCATATATAAATATCAAATCTCCAGATTAGATCCTTACCTCTTGCTGCTTTACCAGGAAGACATCAATAAGATTCCTCTGGTCATTTACATCTAGAGTTTTCTTCTGTTTAGTAAATGTTGCTCTTATGAAGTTTTGCATCTGTCTCATATTTTCAAAAACTTTTTGGTGAGGTCCTGGAAGCAGGTCTAACAAAGTTGGGATAACATTGTACAGCTTTAAAAAGAAAAACAATGTATATATGAAAATAATTGAAAATATACTTGCATTTGATAGTCTGCAAAGGATGAGGGTAAGGAAGATACTGCATTTTTTTCCCTTGGAGATGAACATTTACAATCCCCTCAAAAATGCTTACAATCCCTCAAGAATGCCCCCCAGCCCATTCCAGAAATGCATCCTTGAGGGATTTTGAGCATCTAGGAACAGTAGTACAGAGATCTGCTTTAAATACTTTTCTTGTCCAGTGTACCATCATGTTCGTTTGGCTATCACCACAACAATATGGTAAGGATAGATAATGTCATGATTGGGTGTATTTGTTATTATGGGAAGATAGATAATGCTGCAGAGGAGAAACTGTGCCCTGCTTTTAAATAGTTTCTGCCTCCATTTTTCTCACTGGAGCTTACTCTTCATTTTTGTTACCTTCTCAAAACATCACTGTGAAACCCAATTTTCCTAAAAACTACCTGCTAGAGTTAAGATGGTTAAAAAAAGCACTAAGGCTACTTGCACACTGATCCATGGCAAAAGTGCATATGCACTTTTGCTGCTTTTTTTTACAGCATTTGAGGGGCATGTGGCTCAAAAACCGCACCAAAAATGCAATGCAGGTGCATTTTGATATGTTTTTGCCACATTTTCCATTGATTTCAATAGGGAGTTGTTTTTGGTGTTTTTTTTTACTGCACCAAACCTGCACCCAAAATGCAGCAATCAGAACTTTGAAACATGCACCAGGACCCGCAACAGATCAAAGTGAAGAATTTTATAACAAATGCATAGTCACACATTTTTCTTCTGTTTTTTTAATGCAAAAGTGGAATAAAAACAGATAGTTGTGAAAGCAACTTAAATGGTCTGGGAGGTAAGGACATATAGCATGATTGACAGGAGGTGCAGTTTTAAAACTGAATTCCGGGATAAAAAAATATTGTCTAAATACAAGATCCATGTATATTCTTACTTGAATCTTGGGGGTTTATTCACTCAAACTGTAGACTGCAAAATCTGATGCAGCTCTGTATAGAAACCAATCAAATTCCAGGTTTTATTGTCAAAGCTTAAATGAACAAGCAGAAGTTAGAGGCTCATTGGCCACCATGCATAGCTGTACCAGATTTTGCACTCTCCAGTTTGATCTGTACAGTATGTGAAACTCTGCCTCTATGCAGGAGCTTCCTGTACTAGACACTGCTGCTCTCTCCCATTGTGCATGATGACTGGTCTTCTCTCCGCCCCCTTTTGTAGTTTGTTGCAAACAGCCTAAAGTGGGTGGAGCCTGCTGTGTCCCTTTTACAGCTCTGCTCTCTGCACAGACTATGCACAGCACAGTGATGATGTCACTGCTACTTTTCCAATGTAATAATTGGGTTTTCAAAGAGGCATTTGTTGCACACACAGTGGATTTACAGTGATGGCCAAAAATTTTGCACCCCTGCATTTCTGTCAGAAAATGTACCACTTCACCCAGAAAATTGTTGCCATTACAATGTTTAGGTATTCTCATATTTATTTCTTCTTTTGTTTGTATTGGTATGGCACAAAAAAGTGGAGGAATAAAAAGCCAAATCTGACACATTCAATGCAAAACCCCAAAAATGGACTGGACAAAATGATTGGCACCTTCAATTCAATATTTGGTAGCACACCGTTTGGAAAAAAAAAAATAAATTAATCGCCTCCTGTAACCATTAATGAGTTTCTTACACCTCTCTTTTGGAATTTTGGACTACTGTTCTTTTGCCAACTGCTCCAGGTCTCTTGAATTGGAAAGATTCCTTTTCCCAACTGCAGTTTTGAGATCTCTCCACAGGAGCTCTATGGGATTGAGATCTGGACTCATTGCTGGCCAGTTCAGTACTCTGCAGCGCTTTGTCTTAAACTTTTCGGGAGCTTTTTTTTGGAAAGTGTGTTTTGGGTCATTGTCCTGCTGTAACGCCCATGACCTCTGACGGAGACCCAACTTTCTGACACTGGGCCCTACATTGCACCCCAGAAATTCTTTGGTAGTCTTCAGATTTTGTAATGCCATGCACACGTTCAAGACATCCAGTGCCTGAAGCAGCAAACCAACCCCAAAACATCAGTGACCCTCCACCATGTTTGACTGTAGGGACTGTATTATTTTTTCTAAAGGCCTCATTTCTTTTTCTGAAAACAGTAGAGTGATGGGATTTACCAAAAAGCTGCCATTTTGTTTTGTCTGTCCACAGCACAGTCTCCCAAAATAAATTTGACTTCCTTAGGTAAGATTTGGCAAACTCCAATCTGATTTTTAAATGTTTCTGTGTCAGCAGTGGGGTCCTCCCAGGACTCTTAACATAGCATTTCTTCTTATTCAGATGGCGACGTATAGTGCGAGCTGACATAGTTGTACCCTGTGCCTGAAGGTCAGCTTGAATTTGTCTGGAATTTGATCAAGGTTCTTTAGCCACCATTCAGACAATCCTTTGATGCAATCTTTGATCAATGTTTCTCTTTTATCCACGTCCAGGGAGATTAGCTACATTGTCGTGGGTTGTAAAGTTCTTGACAATGTTGCACACAGTGGACACAGGAACATTAAGATCTCTGGAGATAGACTTTTCCACAATTTTTTTTCTTAAATTCTCAGACAATTCTTTGCTGCTCTTTCTCTTCTCCATGCCCCATGCGGCACACAAAGACACACAACTGAAAGGTTGAGTCCATTTTTCACCATTTTAACTGGTTGCCGGTGTGATTTCTATATTGTCCGCAACTGTTAACTGATACAGGTAAATTTTATTACAAATTACAGGAGCATCACAAACTTGGAATGCAATTATTTCTTATAATTTTGAGAAGATGCCAATCATTTTGTCCAGTTCTTTTTTGGAGTTTTGCGTGGATTGTCAGATTTGGCTTTCTGTTTCTCCACTTTTTGGGTCATATCAATACAAACAAAAAGAAATAAACATGAGAATGCCTAAACATTTGTAATTGCAACAATACGACTGTATATCCTTCCCGGCTATTAAGAAATATGTTTAAATTTAAGCTTTTGTATCCAGAGTTCATCTTTAACAACACCTTTTCATCAATGGTTGCAAATTATAGAAGAATGTTTAAGTATTAAATAGGTTATGCAACACATATACATATACAAACATTTTGTTTAAAATATGACGTGCATGTACAGTATAGCAAAAGGTTTCATGTTGTTTTGTGTGAAAAGGTTAGGGCCTCTGTCAGGTTTTTATTACTGTCTGTGTCCCCACTTGTGAGATTTACCATCTTTATTTGTCCTGGTGATGTTCAACAAGTAGGAATGGGAAATTCATAATTTTAAAAGAACAAGAGGTATGGGGAAGTCTTCAAATCAGGACCCATGTTCGGGGTATTTCCATTTATTTTATTTTGTGTTTTCATGGCCAGGGAGTGAAGAAAATGCCCTTTAAGGTCCATACAAGCTAGGAGCACAAAAAAATGGCAGAACCTTTGGCAGAAAAAGCAGCATAAAAAATGCTCGTAGTAGCTCATATTGTACAAAAGTTTATGACAGTTTATGGTTATTTGCTCTTACAAGCCTTTTTCTTTTCAAAACATTCCCCACTGCTTGTTTTTCAATGTACTACTTGAAAATGCTGAATGCTCCTAAACACTGCATTTATACACATTTATGAGTGTTGAGCATTTTTCTGCCTGAAAATTGCTCTCAACAACGCACTTATGATGTGCTTTTCTCCTGTTTTTAAACTTTTCCTCTTGAAATATGCCTCTAAATGCCCTAATGTGGATGGACACATAGGATAACACAGAGCTGCTTCTACAGGCAGGAGAAGAAAATGTAAAAACTCCTGGACCCTGAATGAGACATCGAAAGTAGGGTTGCACCAATAAATCTTTTTAGCGAGAGCACGAGTACCAATTCTTGTGCTCAAGTACTCGCCGACATCAATTACCAATACCATTTCAGTGTGATTTAGGCCCATACAAAATGAATGGCTTAAATCGCACTGCAAACCGCACAGCACCCACAGGAAACCTGCATGTGATTTGGACAAGAACCACCCCATCTATCTGTTAAAATCACATGCGATTCTTTGCAGTGCGATTTGAGTCCATTCATTTTGTATAGGCTCAAATTGCACCTTAAAGGTATCGCTTTCAGGTTATTGGGGCATTTGTACAGGTACAAGTACTCGTGCAAATGCTTAGTATTGGCGCAGATATCAGTATTGCTATCAGTGCAAACCCAGGGGCGGACTGACAACTCATGGGGCCCCCGGGCAATAGGGGATCATGGGGCCTCTGTGTCCTTGCCCAAACTCAAAAAAGCCTATGAAAAAGGTACCAGGGGCATCTCATGGGGCCCCCTACTGACCCCGGGCCCTCGGGCAGTGCCCAAGTTTCCACATGGTCAGTCCGCCCCTGTGCAAACCTAATGGAAAAAAAAATCCTGACCGTGGTTCTAATCAATTTCTACTGCCTACTGTCTTTACCTTGAATCACTGAAAATATTTTAGAAACTGTTCAACCACAATCAAGCAGCAAATTCAAAACACCTCTCACCCACAAACACAATAATAGCACAACTTACCCGGATCACACGGGAAGCCATAAGCCGTATGTTTTCATTAATCAAACCCATGAGTCTCAGTATAGTGGGGTCATCATAATTGAATCGATGACCAAGTAGTATGGAGATGATTATATTGGCCACTGCAGCATTAAGGATGGTCAAATTATCAAAAGGTTTACCTGGAATTAAAATAAAGCATGATTGCATGGCAACAAAAAACATAATCTATACTGCAGACAATACATGGAAAACAGTCTATTTGTTAATGTGGCCATCCAAGATTCACATATCACACAACATTTTCACATTTTTATCACTGGGCCCTATTTTAAAAATGTGTGTTTCGTGGACGAAAGCTTGTCATGAAAATTTGAATGTTATTGTGAATAAAAAAGTATCATAGAAAATGTTTTTGTTGCATGTGCACCAATATGGCTAAAATCATCTCAAGTGTGAATCTTGTGAGCACTATAAAGGGTCATATGTTGTCTCAAGCAATTTGTTTCATTGCCAACAGAGATCTTTTTAGACATCCAAGGGCTTGAATGGACGTTTTGTTTGTATGTGGACCTTTTTGATTTGTATTGTTCTTATACAAACACTTCTAATGTTCCTCACAGGTTATGAGCATTAAGGATTAGTGCAAAATATCCATATGTGTCAGATATTACAATCATCATGGATTAAGGTGCCCAAGAATAAGAAGTGACAGACAGCAGGATTTGCCCATATTGGAAAGTATGGAAATGGCCATCAAGAACCAGTAAGAGCATTCCAATATCAAATGCATATACATTTGCCAACAAAACCCAACAGTAAATAAAAGGTAATAAAATTTCCTTTTTCTCATAGAACACACGACATAAAATGAATGATAAAGAAGACACAAACGCTTCAAAACAATCACCTTCATAAGATTTCATTGTCCTTATTAAACATTCAGATTCTTCACAAATCTTGTCTTCTATAGCTTTTTTTCCCATCCCGTAATCTCGGAGCGTTGAAAGAGTGAATCTTCTCATTGCCTTCCAGCTCTCACCATTTGAAAAAATAACACCTAAACAGGAGGAAAGCATTATTTTTTGTGTCAATGAAGCAATTGTCACATACAAATGGTGCCCAAAATATACAAAATATAGATCCAAGACTGTTGATGGAAATAACAAATGGTGCGTAGTGTTTGTTTGTCTTATCTCAGGACCTGAACATTACATTCAGAAAACATTAATGTCCTTAAAGAATATCTAGACCCAAGAACAAAAATGTAATATATTGCAGTCTAGCATTCTTTAGATATGATGGCTGCATTAGTTTCCATTTTTCAGGATTTCTTCCTGTATCTTCACCTGGAAAATCTGCCAGTCACACACTTCCTGTCATAGGTTCCTCTACCACCACCACCTTTTGAGAAGATAAAGAGCAGTGTTTTGCAGTCCAAAGTGACAAAGAGAGCATTGTTAACTGACAACAGTGCAACACAGGAAGAGAGCACAGAAGGCTATCAGCCTACTGGATTTCTGGTGGGATCCACAGGTAGTTTTTTGTAATTGACTCAACAGAGTATAACAGAAAACAAGTAAAACTCATTTACATAAAACTGTATTGTTTGCCATTTATTAAAGATAAAAAAAACACGCTTACCGTTGTCTTTTGTTGATTTAGAAAATATCGGCAACTTTGGTCTGTTAGCAAATTCTTCACCGTGGGTAAGTAGAGCATCTTTAACAGTGTCGTAACCGCACAAGATGATGACTTTTGCCATTCCGAAATGGAAAGTTAATACTGTGCCATACTTCTTAGACAGCTGGAAATGAAACATATAGTAGAAGATATAGTTGTAATTCTAAAATTATCATTAAAGAAATCCCCCACTATTATGTGGAAAACACATCTTTTATTCTTTGATGTCTGTATACAGAGGTATGTTTAATTTAAAGGAACATTCCACTTTTAAAAAAGTTTGCTAAATTTCTTGCAAATTGGAATTGAACTTCAATGGATTTGAAGTGGTAAACACAAAATTGCATCTGTCGCTTGTGATGTCCATTCTAAGTACCTGCTCATGGCTCTCCCCTATTTGGAGGGACTGTCCCTCTCTTGGAACCATATCTCTATGTTCCTATTTCCTCTAAGTTTTTCTTCTTTGTGCTCTGACTTAAATCTGTACAAAAATACTGTTACTTACCAAGTGTTTAACTACACTTATATACCAGTATGAAGAAAACAAATTGGTAAAATAAAAAAATGTGTGTGCTTAACCACGTCAATGCCATCATATGTATAAGTATGGCCTCAAATTGAGGTGGTTATACTGTGAAGATGGTTAAGGCTATAGCCATGATCCCACTACCGTTTTCTTCAGGAGGAGCTTCCCTATACAGCTGATCAATCACTTTTGCAAATGATGGAAGTGAAATGGCATCCTTCCCCCACCCCCATTGCAGACTTTCCATTCCAACATTGTTCCTCCCCCTCTCTGAGATCAGAAACTGGAAGGGACAAGGATTTAATCACTTCCGCTTTCAGTTTGTTTATTTACAAGCTGTTACTGGTAGTGATGTCACGCCCCACAATGTGCATTGTGATTGTGATTGCCCGAAGCAAATCAAACCAAAGCAATGCACCTTACCACAGGTTTTGGCCAATCACAGCACAATTGGGCAGAGCTAGTGGTGACATCAACGCTACCTCTGCCCCTAATTGTTTACATCTGATTGGCAAATGCCAGACAGCGGCGAGTGCTCAGCGGGTGTGGATGGGTCAGAGGGTATCATTTTTTTTTCCTTCATTTTAGTGAGTCGGCGTCATTGTGACAATGCTGGACTCCATGATTGACGATGGATTACAATGATGGGAGCACCCCTATCCCAAAGCACCCTCCCATGCTGAGGGCATGTGACCTGGTATGGTTTGGGGGGGTGCTCGCTTGCCCCCTCCTTTTCTGGCCTGCCAGGTCTGTGCTCGGATCAAGGGTCTGGTAGGAATTTAGGGGGTACCCCACACTCCCCCCCACCAATTTTTTTGTGGTGGGGTTCCCCTTAAAAGTCCTACCAGGTCTAAAGGTCTTGGTATGGCTTTTAGGTGGAACCCCATGCACTTTTTAAAAATTTTGTACTATGGGGTCCCTACTAACCTCCTTACCACACCTAAAGGGAACCCCACACTGTTGTATTTTTTAAATAAAAAGTGTCAGTTCTGCTGCAGCAGATTCTATATATTGTACAGATGTGCAACTTTGCAGATAGTTTAAGGGGAACCCCCAGGCATACTATTTAAAGGAATTTTTCTTTTTTTACTTTAAGCAATGAAAAATTACGGCCCCTATAAAAATGGTACTTTTTGAAAAAGGTTTTCACTGATTCATGTCCCTCAGGGCAGTACCCGAGTCCCCATGCCACTTTTATGGCCAATAACTTACATATAAGCCTTCAAAATAGGCACTTTTGAATTTAAAAGTTCGACTCCCATAGACTTGCAAGTTCGAACAGAACAGTGGGGGTGTTCCATCACTAGTTACTGGCTTGTAAAGATTCTCATCAAATCCATCTTAGTTTGATCAGATGCTTTGGAGACTAGAAGCGAGATGCGGGACCTAAAAGACCCCAGGTCTCTCTATAAAGAAGACCTGTCATGACCCATAGTATCACAAGGGATGTTGTTCATCCCTTGTGATAGCAATAAAGTTGATGAAAAAGGCACAGTGTAAACAAAGAAAAAATAAATTTAAATAAAATAAATAATAATAAAAATGCTTTCCTATTAGTTGTTAGTCTGCAGCCCATTGTATCTGGGTAGTGTGACTGTATTAGTTGAAACGTTAGGTATCTATTTACTTGGTGGAACATCATCTTTTATATTATATTGTGTGCACTAAAATTCAATGAACTGATGTTTTACTGAAGATTTGCATTTGATTAACCACTGAGTCAATATTAAGTATATATAGTGCAGCGCTGTAATGTAATTAAATAAATAATTAAAATAAAAGTAAAATAGTTCATAAAGTACTTTCACAATAAAATGATCATAAACATGTTGAAGGCCTCCTCCTCATTAGGTGACTGGAATCAAACAGAAAAAATGCGCACTCACCGACCGCGCATTTTAAATGCGCATGTATGTAATTCAGATGACCAGCCAGGCATGCAGATCCAGAGAACACATAGGTCATCCCTCTCAAATACTGACATCAGCCTTGGGTGCAGTAATATATCTCCAGGTCCAGAGAGCCATCTTGCCCCAAAGGATAGGTAGACAGGGGTCCCCCTCCTGGTTCCAGGTACCCCAGAAGTGGTAGATGTAAATCTGAAACCCTCCAGCAAGAGGGTCAAAGAAAAAAGGGAACGCCAATAGTGTAGTAGGTTCAAGAACTTTATTGGATCAACAGTAGTTAAGCCAGGGTCACATGTGCACACAAATACCATCGGCCATCAAACGGACTGGTAAGTATGAAAGGTAAGTAAAACATGTACTAACCCAGCAAAGGTAAGAATCAGAGACCACCGGACTCTGATTACGTATATATACGTAAAATATACGTAAAAAAGATACGTAAAAAAAACTATATGTAAAAAAAAATATGTAAAAAATTATATATAAAATATATGTAAAAAACTACACTATATCTAGATATAGTGTAGTTTTTTACATATATTTTATATATAATTTTTACACGATTTTTATTAATCTTTTGGGTCATAGAGATATTATGTATATGTTTGTGCCAAAATGTTTACTGAACCTTCTGATACGTAGTACCTAAATAGGTACCTTTAGTCATGGATGACCTAGCGAATATTAGGGGTATCAAATGGGGAAATGGGATACCTTTACACATCAAATTATAGGACCACATGTTTGTGAATTTAATATCCTATTTGGTATCAGCCCCTAGGATGGCGGAATAGGGATACCCATTCGGTTTGAGATTTTCCGCTTTCACGGAGAAATTCCCCTTTCTCTGTGATTATTATATAATCTCACTATAATTATGGTATTATGATCCATGACAAATGGTAATTCATGATGTCAATAGGAAAATGCCATATTTTATATGTGTATTTTAGTATGTGTGTATCCTTTTGAACGCCTGTGTGCGTTTATGGTATTTTTAATGTAGAAATTGTGGATTCATTTTACATATGTTTTTTGGACATATGTTAACATATGGCTTTTACAT